TCATAAATTGATTTTCAAAGGTCTGATGCTTTCTATGTGTGGGATCTTCTAATCAAAACCCTTTTTATTCAGGAAACAAAAACAAAAGCAAAACAATTCCCAGGTTGTGTATGGAAAGCTTTCTCTTCCCTGTGTCTTTCAGATGGCTTTTTAAGAGAGAAAAAAGAGGGTGCTTTGGCAACAGAAAAAAATTGTGCAGAAAAAGAAAATCATGGTTCTTATAAACAGGATAGAACCGAGATGGAAACTCAAGATTCTACTAATATTAATCCAGTGATCCCAGAATCAATGAAGTTTACTGCCCAGTAAGAGCTATGTTCTTATTTTTCAAGTTTGCAGTGATATATGTTTGTCACTTACATTACAAAAGAGTTTATGTAAATTTTCATTTGATCTATTTTCTTGGTTTGTTGAGAAATGGGTTGAGGGGGCAGAGAAGTATTTCATACATTGCTTTTGAAACTTTCTTTTTTCTTTTTCCTATTGATGTTTTGGCAAGTTACCAGAGCACCAGACAACGACAGATCATTTATCGGGTAACTTCACAGCCAGATAGTTCTGTCTTGCAAGTCATAAGTGGGCCTGAAGCATCTGTGCAAGAAGAGGTGTCTGTGGATGCAATGCATTTCTTCATAGATGGAAATGGTAACCTCATATGGAGGAGTTGGGAGGGGTAGTCACTTTACCTTTTGGATAGCTTATTTAGGTTTCTATCTGCGTGTGGATTAACTGTTCAGGCTCATTTATCTAGATGGATTCCAGGATTCCATGGGAGACATGGCTACTAGGTCTCTATGATAGGTTTTTAATGGAAAAGGGAATCGTTCAGATAGTTAGACCTTATGCATTTAAGGCTTTGGAGGTGAACATCAACCTGTCAAATGTGCCCAATAAGCAGTATAGGTATCATTTGACTCTGATACCCAGCTGTGCTTAGCAAATGTTGCATTAATTGCAACCTCTAGACATGTTGCAGTAGTCGAGACAAGCAGCAATCGAGGCATAGATAACTGTTGCCAAATTCAACTGGCTCTGGACAAGAATGCAGCTAGTGCAGTAGATGTAATTGTGTAAAAGTGCTTCTGGCCCCAGTCACCACTGTAAATCTCATGATATTGTTGGGATTTGCAACCCTACATATTTGGAGGGCACTGTAAGATCTTTAAAATCAGGGATTCTCAAACTTTGTGGCATTACAGCTCAATAAACAATAAATGAATGTGTGCAGTCCCCCATGAATAAAACTAATAACTTCATTACGGTTACCATTGAACAAGAAATAAGTATTCCAATTTATTTTTAATATTTAAATGTTAACTTTAGGTTAACCTAACCTAAGATAGAACCACCTTCCTACCCAATCTGGAGCTTAGGGTCAAGGGCAGGGTTCCCCCCTTGTTCTCTCACTCTAAGGAGTATACCCTTCTGCTCAGCTCCCTCCCTCTCACGCAGGGAGCAAGATGATTCACTTATTCTCTTTCTATGGTTGTTTACCCCACTAACCTCACAGTTTGACCCCCATTCCATATACTTCACTTCAGGCAACACAGGGCTAAGCCAGTATTCCTCCTCCAATCATGTTTACATAGCCTCCTGATACAATTCCTGGCTCTTCCATCCTGTTTTGCTCCACACTGTCCACCACTTTGTCCTCTCCTCTCCTCTCCTCTCCTCTCCTCTCC